AGCCGTCTCATGTTGGAGTTCACCCCTGTAGACGAGAGGGTCGCAGGGGAGGACTCTGACAGTTGTTTTGGCCTATGGGCCGAACGGCAGTATGGAGTACAAGGCCTTCTTAGCATCTCTGGGGAGGGTGTTAGAAAGCACCCCTCCGGGAGATTCCATCATTCTACTGGGAGACTTCAACGCCCACGTGGGAAACGACAGTGACACCTGGAGGGGCGTGATCAGGAGGAACGGGCCCCCAGCTCTGAACCCGAGTGGTGTCTCATTATTGAACTTCTGTGCAAGTCACAGATTGTCCATAATGAACACCATGTTCAGGCATAAGAATGTGCATCGGTGCACTTGGCACCAGGACACCCTAGGCCGAAGGTCGATGATCGACTTTGTAGTCATATCTTCTGATCTTTGGCCGCATGTCCTGGACATTCGGGTGAAGAGAGGGGCGGAGCTGTCCACCGACCACCACCTGGTGAGCTGGATACGCTGGAAGAGGAGGAAACCTGAAAGACTCGGCAGGCCCAAACATGTAGTGAGGGTCTGCTGGGAACGTCTGGTGGAACCCTCGGTCAGGGACGTGTTCAACTCCCACCTCCGGGAGAGCTTCTCTCAGGTTCCGAGGGAGGTTGGAGAAATGGAGTCCGAATGGGCTGTGTTCTCTGCCTCTATTGTCGATGCGGCTGCCCATAGCTGTGGCCATAAGGTTTGCGGGGCCTGTTGTGGTGGACACCGATAGTAAGGGATGCTGTCAAGCTGAAGAAGAAGTCCTATCAAGCTTGGCTGGCTTGTGGGACTCCTGAAGCAGCAAGCAGGTACCGTGAGGCCAAGCATGTCACAGCCCGGGCAGTTGCAGAGGCAAAATCTTGGGCCCGGGAGGAGTTCGGAGAGGCCATGGAAAAAGACTATCGGTTGGCCTCAAAGCGATTCTGGCAAACTGTCCGGAGCCTCCGGAGGGGAAAGCAGTGCTTCACTAACTATGTTTTCAGTGGGAGTGGGGAGCTGCTGACCTTGAAGGAGGATATTGTTGGGCGGTGGAAGGAATACTTTGAGGATCTCCTCAACCCGACGGACACGCCTTCCGTGGGGGAAGAAGAGACGGGGTGCTTGAGGCTGGATTCGTTCATCACCCAGTCCGAAGTCACCGAGGTGTTAAAAAAACTCCACGGTGGCAAGGCTTCGGGGGTGGACGAGATCCGTCCTGAGTATCTTAGAGTTTTGGATGTTGTCGGGCTGTCATGGTTGACACGTCTCTTCAACATTGCGTGGAGGTCGCGGACAGTTCCCCTGAATTGGCAGACTGGGGTGGTGGTTCCCCTCCACAAGAAGGGGGACCGGAGGGTGTGTTCCAACTATCGGGGAATCACACTTCTCAGCCTCCCCGGAAAGGCCTATGCCAGGGTGCTGGAGAGGAGAGTCCGGCTGATTGTCGAATCTCGGCTGCAGGAGGAGCAGTGTGGTTTTCATCCCTGCCGTGGAACAGTGGACCAGCTCTACACCCTCTGCAGGGTGCTTGAGGGTTCATGGGAGTTTGCCCAACCAGTCAACATGTGTTTTGTGGACTTGGAGAAGGCATTCGACCGTGTCCCTCGTGCTGCCCTGTGGGGGGTGCTCCAGGAGTATGGAGTCAGGGGCCCTGTTCCCAGTGCATGTTGGACTCCGACAGGGCTGCCCTCTGTCACCGGTGCTGTTCATAACTTTTATGGACAGGATTTCTAGGCGCAGCCAAGGATCGGAGGGGGTCTGGTTTGGGGAACAGCGGATCTCGTCCCTGCTTTTTGCGGATGACGTAGTTCTGCTGGCTCCCTCCTGCCAAGACCTACAGCGTGCGCTGGGGAGGTTCGCAGCCGAGTGTGAAGCAGCCGGGATGAGAATCAGCTCCTGCAAGTCCGAGGCCATGGTTCTCGACTGGAAAAAGGTGGCTTGTCCCCTTCAGGTTGGAGGAGAGTCCCTGCCTCAAGTGGAGGAGTTCAAGTATCTTTGGGTCCTGTTCACATGTGAGGGAAGAATGGAGCGGGAGATTGATAGACGGATCGGTGCGGCTGCTGCAATAATGCGGACGCTGCACCGGTCTGTAGTGGTGAAGAGAGAGCTGAGCGAAAAGGCAAAGCTCTCAATTTACCGGTCAGTCTACATTCCTACCCTCACCTATGGTCATGAAATTTGGATCATGACCGAAAGAACGAGATCTCGGATACAAGCGGCTGAAATGAGCTTTCTCATTGGGTGGCTGGGCTCTCCCTTAGATATAGGGTGAGGAGCTCAGTCATTCGGGAGAGGCTCAGTGTAGAGCCGGATCTCCTCCACATCGAGAGGAGTCAGTTGAGGTGGCTCGGACATCTTCTTCGGATGCCCCCTGGACGCCTCCCTCGGGAGGTGTTCCAGGCACGTCCCACTGGGAGGAGGCCCAGGGGACGACCCAGGACACGCTGGAGAGACTATGTCTCTCGGCTGGCCTGGGCGTGCCTAGGGCTTCCCCCAACAGAGCTGGAGCGGAGAGGGAAGTCTGGGAGTCTCTGCTTAGTCTGCTGCCCCCGCGACCCGGTTCCGGATAAAGCTGGAGACAACGAGTACAAGTACGAGTACAAATACTCTAATAGAGTTTACTACACCAAAAAGTCATTTTTATCAGTGTGTGAAGCATGGTGGTTCTCTCAGCGGCCTTTACTGCTGTGTGGCTGGTCAGTAACACCTAGAATGGACCCATCCACCTCCAGGATCTCCAATCTTCCTCCTGCAATTTCTTATAAAGACAAAATCTCCTGGCTGTAAATCATGCAAAGGTTTAGTAGCTTGTGAAGGTAGTCCTCTCTGTGTCTGGTCTCCACTTCATTTATCTGGGCTGTAAGTGAAATTAAGTAATTAAGCATTTTATCATCATATGAAAATGAAGATGTTGTATGAGTCTCTGGCAATCCTGCAAAGAGAATTTCAAAAAAACTTAAGGTTAGATTTTTTATGGCGGCGCATGCACATCAAAACAATTTAGAGTGCCTAGACTGAATTCAGACCCATTTCTTCCCAGATCTAATTTCTCTCTCAGCAGCTCCTCCGCTCTGTGGATGATAGACACAATGCCTCATTAGGTAAACATTAAACATTTCAGCATATGTTGTAATATTTCACTTGCAAAATTTTAGGCTTCAATCCATCTTGAAAACATATCTAAATCACCAAGCAACATTTCTTTCCTTCACGTGGAATTAGTTCTATAAAATCTATCATAGGATGTCTAAATCTGTCCATAAACTTCAACTTCTTCAGAACTCAGCTGCTCGTGTCATCACCAGAACCACCTCCTTTCATCATATTTCCCCTGTCCTTTACCAACTCCATTGGCCCCAGTTCAGTTAAGAATAAAATTTAAAATCCTTCTATATACTTTCAAAGCCATCAATAACCATATCCATCAGAACTCTTTCACATTGTCACTTCCTCTCACTCCCTTAGATCCTCCTCAGTATTGACTCTCTCCCCTTATTCAAAGCCAGACTCAAAACCCATCTGTTCCAGCTCGCTTATTTGTGAATATGCTGCTCTTGTCCCTATACATACTTGTTTTTATGTTCCTGTATTTGTTTATTTGTTTTTTCATTTTGTTTTTATTTTCTGTAAAGTGACCTTGAGTGTCCAGAAAGGTGCTGTTAAATAATATGTATTATTATGTTAAAATGGAGCATCAACTGTTTTTGTGGCTCCTTGGCCCATCATTTTCTTTCCTCTAGAAATGTTTTTACATGCACAGATTAAACTTTCACAAACTTTGTTGCTTTTTGAGAAAAATTAACTGTTAACCAATTTTTGTCCATCCATTTCCTAGTCCTCCCTTTTGACTCATGGTCCCCTATGGGTCAAAACATAAAAGGGATCGAAAAAAAATGTTTAGGTAACCATTTAAACCCCACCAGACGTTATTAGGGAAAAAAAAAAAGTAAAGTCTAAGAGCTCCATTTCAGATGACAAAGGATCTTATCTTAGCAAAAGGTGGGGGCATGCAGCAGGTTAAAAGGTTTTGACCAGACAGCTCAGTAAATAGTTCAGCCTCATAAATCTGTCATGTTGGCTTTAAGGGATCTAACCCACATGCAGAACACTCAGAGGCTGGGAAAAAGTTTACAAGTTTATTAAAGAAATAATAACAAATAAAGAACACTGGTTCTGGGATAAAGTGGGTCCGGGTCTGGTCACGACTGGTTTTCACTGCAGAGAGGGACAGATTGGTTAGCTGTCTTTCAGTGAACTTGCAGGTTGGGTGTTTGCAGGTCTATACCTGATCAGAGATGAGCTGAGCGGTAGAAGGGGGGGAACCAGGAGGGTCCAGAGGCTGAAGGCACGCAGAGGCAGGGCAGAGCAGATAATCTTACTGAGCAGGTTCAGAGCTTCTCTTCAGAGCGGGCAGGCAGGTTTCAGACTGAGTTGGATTTCCAGCGTTCTTCTGAGAACAGACCGCTTGGTCTCACGCTTGAGAAATCCTTCCAGGTCTTCAGGATTCCAGGCAGGTTCTTCCTGAGAAGCAGAGAGGACAAAAAACAGATTAGGTTCAGATTCAGGCTTCAGGGGAGTCAGAGATTCAGACAGGCAGGTTGGCTCAGGCTTGCTAACCATAACTGGCAAACACTCTGCCGTCGGATTGTAGCTCTGCCCCTCCTTAAATGCTGGTCCCCTGATGAGCTCATGAGCCGCAGGTGTGGTGGTCAGCTTCAGCCCCAGGAGACCTAGAACGCCCTCTGCTGGAGAAAGGTGGACAGACCTCCAGATCCCAACAAAATCAGCCTAGAAGGAATGACAAAGATTTAAGAAAAAGGAGGAATCCAAGAAAACTTGACTGAGATAGCTTGAATGACTAAACTGAATTATTTAATGACAGCAACATTGTATTCATTTTAATAACATTATTATTACATTTTATATGATTATATAAACCCTTATATAAATCTCCCCCCTTTAACACATGCTTTCTCATGTTAAAATAACAGTGTTCTATGGGTGTGATGATCTGGAAAAGAAAAGCATTTCAGATCTAGGGAAATTTAAAAGGGCCCCTTATTTTATTTTTTTTTACAACACTGTAATGAGGTGGGACTTCCTCAGGTGTTGTTTACTTAATGCAAATTATGAAATTAATTATTTTTAGGTATGACAAGGTGGTATACGAAAGGGGTCAGATTAGAATTAAGAAATGCTGGGATAGCAGTGTAGTAACCATCACAAACGCGCAGAATATGTGACAGTCCTGTTATTACAGCATTGAATTTTGAGAAGAAAAGGTAACTATTGCCAATTTGTTACCAAATTATTGGAGCAATATAAAAATCTACAGTCTCCCTGCTCATCCACCCTTCGTGGTTAAACAGACAAAGTGGATTGGAAAACACCAGAGTGGGAGCCATTACAAATTTTTCTTAGGCGCCTTAGGTGATATAAAATAATAAAAAGAATAAAAAAACAAACAAAAAAAAACCCTCTGGAGGTGGGTTGAGGTGAGGAAACAGGCCTGTTTTATATTAGATAATCCTCAGAGATCTCTAACACAGCACATCATTAAAGAAAAGGTACCTATAGATAAGAGAAAGATAGAAAGTTTTGCTACGGTAGGATACCGTTTATCAAAGAAAGCTAATTAAACCCTGACCAAACTGTTATTGAGAGTTTTAGTTACTGGATATCCATTATAAGAGGGAAAGGAATATCAATTCAAACGTGAGATCAGCAACTCACCGGAGTAAAACATAAAAAATTATCAGGAAACTATTATATGTCTCTATAATGTACTTTGTGGGTGTGTGTGTGTGTGTTACTTGCAGTCTGTTGAACCGGGGGTCGCTCCAACAGCTCCCTCACTAGTGGTAGAGTGACCTCGCTTCTGTACCTGATATCCCCCTTGCTGAGATTGGCTTCTCTGTCCCATGGTTGTAGCCTCCTCTCTGTCCTGCCTGGCATCCATGGTAGGGTGGTGGACCTCCATAATGAACTGAGCCTCTGCCACATCCTCCTCTGCCCCCACGTTTTTTATGTGGATAGTTTCTGGCCCAGTGATCAGGTTTGCCACAGATGTAGCAGCAACCATCATTGGAGAACTGTTCTTGTCTGAGGGCTACATGGAGAACAGTTTAAACAGTTTAGTGACAGTTTTGAAAGAGAGTCAGTTGTGCCTCAGTCTGTTATTTTCTTTTCCTGTTGTACACGTTTTCTATCACAGTCACTCAAATTGTCCTCACGGCGGCCCCTCCTTGAATGAAGAGCTAGTCCATACGGGGCTGTTTGCAGTCTGTTGAGGATAGTGGCTCCTATTGAGTGACCATGGAGCAAAGGTGATAGATGGATCCCCGCTGTTGGCCCAAGGGATACTAAAGTCTGGTTGTGAGTCTGGTTGTAAGTCTTTCAAAAAGACTTACTCTCGGTCTAAAAAAGACTTACCCTCAGCCTATTTAAGGCCTACTTTTTGTTATAACAATATTTTAGTTTTTTTTTCTCCTTTAAAGGAGTTTTTTTAGTTTTCTTCCTCGCTCAGTCTCCTGAATTTATTGTCGGTGCATCAGAAGAGTCCTCCTTCCCTTAAATGGCCTATTTGAGGTCTCCTCCTCCGCCTCCTCCTCCTCGTCAGCTCTTCCGCCACACACCCACTTTCAAACCTGGAGCGGACGGACACAGAGTAGCCTAAACACATGGAGCAGACAGGAGCTGGATTCACGGCGAGGTGGCGACAGGTTAAAAGTAAAACATGCTTTGCACGGGGCTCAGGAGAAAGAGGAGATGTAATCTATGGACACCTTTTTTGCTTCATTGAAGTGGAGAACAAAACCAAATGCTTAACAGGGACTGAAAGGTGAGGGGAAGACACTGCGGTTAGTTCAGGCTCAGTGGGAAATTTGAATCTTAGAATTGGAGGAAAAGGTTGCAGACTCACTTCTCCAAGGAAAGGTGTCCTTTATGGAATCCAGACTGAGAGGATTGTACCGGAGAGAGTTCCTGTGGTACTTGAATGGGCTGCGGTGCTGAAGAAACCTTTGCTTGGTGTGAAGCTNTGTCTGCAGATCAAAGGGTTGAGGTCAAAGATGGCTGCATCTGAGTCAATATTCATGTGATGTGCTGAATAAATTATCAGCTTACCGATGTAGTTCCTGCAGCCTCCAGCGGTGGAGCCGCGGATCCAGTTGCCCTCAAAGACGTTGACCTCCCAGTGGCGTTTTGTGTTATCATCCAGGGCGTCGGGGGTCATGTTGCAAATCTCCACCTTGTCAAAATTCCTCTTGAAATCTTCAAACTCCATCCTGGAGTTCAAAAACAAAAATCAAACGCAACCATCCATCTGTTAATCAACACGTCTGTTTTCCACCTGCTGGACAGACTCTTCCAGCCAAACAGACCAATCAAAGCATCATCAAGCATCGATTCTCGCTGATCAACAGATTTCTGGGGGTTAGGCGCCTTGCCCAAGTGCATACTGACTCTGAATCAAACCTTCAACTAACATCATAACTGTTTTTTGCTATTGGGCCAACACAGAAAAACACATGTGAATACCACTTGTGGAAACCATGCTCCACATGTTCAATAAATAAAAAAATCTGATTCAAATGTAGGAGCACATCTATATTTGGGAACATCTCATGTTTTCAACATGTGCCTCAAATGTGAATCACATGTGCGTCAAATGGGAATAAAACGTGGAAATGTGTATCAGATGTAAATTTCACTTCTGATGCATGGGTTTCCCATGTGAACATTACATGTGGAACCCATGTACCACATGTGAAAGAAATAAAAAATCACATTCACATGTAGAAGCACAGTTATATTTGGGGAGATCTCATGTTTTTCCACATGTGATTCCCATGTTTTCCACATGTGCCTCAAAAGTGAATCACTTGCGTTTCAAATGCGATGTGGCATTTTATATCAGATGGTAATTTCACGTGATACATACGTTTCATGTGAAACCAATGTGTTCTTAATATGTGGTGCACATGTGATCACAGGATTCACATGATCAAAAGTAAAAAGGAACTTTGATCACACGAACAAAATGCTTGATCACATGTGGACATGTCACCAACATATGTAGAAGACATCTGTGGATTTTTTATGTGGAAAATGGGAATCAGATGTGAAATTCTTATGATTATGAGGATGGAAATCTTTCGTGCAAGATCTCATTTGCGAACACATGAAGTTCATGAGATATTTTTGTAAAGGAAAGTTGCCCAAAGTGAAAAACTTTCATCATCCATCATCTGTATTTACTTATATGAACATTAATGTAATTATTTTATTCCCAACCAATAAATTCAGAGTTCTCACCAAAATTCTCCATCATCACTCTGATTCTGAAGGATCCGGGATTTTTCTGCTTTGTCAACATAATCCCACTCTCTGGAACTGAAACAGACGAGGCAGTTGGTGATCGGGAACATTCTTATCAAGCAGACATGCGGAATGTGGAGGGACCTTCATGCTGGTCTCGTTTTTTTATTTTAAAAACCTATAACTTTTCTAAAATGAGAGAAGGATCCTCTAGGGGGGCCGTGGCCACGGAGAAAACACTGAAGTGATGATAAAAAAAGGAAGAGAACAGTTTAATTTGAAGCTTCAACCAAAAAAATCCAGATTTATTCCCAGTTTATTTGGGATTAAATGGGATCATCCAGCTTCAGATACAATCAATAAAGCTCTTCCAGAAGTTCTTGCAGAATGAATCCTTCAAAGCAGAATCTAAGTTTAAGCTGCTGTCTGGTTGCTAAGTGTTGAGCAGAGTAATGGAAGGTCTGCAGGTTCCTCTGGTTGGATTACACAAAAATCAGATAAAACTTTGTAGTAAAGGGTTAGACATCAAGGTCATTTTAGAAAAGCCTCTTACTAAACCGTACTGAGCATAAATAGCTTAATTTATTTATTCATTTAAAGCTCCTGTTTTAGCACAGGTGCTTTTAATTTGACAGTTCACAGACAGGACATGGGTTTGACAGAGGTTAAGAAGAGATGTGTGTTGGGTGAAGAACTGAAATACACAGTAATGGATTTTTCATACGGCTTCTGCACGAGAAGAGACAATTGAACCCCAGACTCAAACACACTGTTTCACCCCGGACCTCCTCCGCAGAGCGTTTTATTAACAGAACATGACACATGGTTACAAAGTATTGTTCTGACAGAACAAGGCAGGATGGTCTCCTGACTGAATCATGAGACAGGAGTGGAGCATCTCATTTCTAAAATGTTTCATATGAACACACATTACTTTAATAATCATCATTGAAAAAACCTAACATTCCCTCCTGTGCATATAAACATTAGCATATAGCACTACATTAGCATATAGCATTTCTAAAAAGATTTTTACTACACACATCATAAATGCATTGCAGATAGGGAATTCAGTAATCAAAGATCAATATGCAAAAAACAAAAATATGAAAAGGATTAAAATGTAAAACTTAAGCAAAAATTTAGGATTTATCAAGAATGTAAAAAGCTTCAATAATCTGTCCCTTGAGTAAGCAAAACCTCTTTAAATCTTCAACTCATCCAGAGTGGTCTGTATGAGTACAAACATAACAGGCCGTTTTA